GGCGGGGCCCGGGCCGGGCACACCTGGCGGCGCCGGCGGCAGGCTAAGCGGAAAGCCGGGGCGCCTTGGCCGCGCGCACCTCGTGCGGGTGAACGACGCTCTGGCCTTTGCCAGAACCTTTCCCGTTCAGTGTTCACCTGATCCGCACACCTACCCTGTGACTTCGATATAATGTCAGCTTCTCCGGAAGGAAGAGTCTCGGGTACATCAAGCTGTTTCCCGGAGGTCACAGCCGGGTGGGTCTAGGAATGGTCAGTGCTTTTCACTTTCGCCCTTTGCCTTTGCTCACGAGTAGTTTTTGTCATGCAAGCATTTTGAATTTCTCAGAAGTTGAATTGCTGCTCCTCTCTCGCAGCCCCGAAAAGTCTTCATTCGCTTCTTAGAGATTACACAAATTTTCTTACTATCCCCAGTGGTACTTTAGAATCGGTTACATAGTTTAAAAACCCCATTAATGGTGAAAGTTAAATAGGGGGAATCGACACCTTTATGGTACAGGGGCTTGCTATAGGCTAACCCATTGCTCCCCTTTTGTTTTGCCCCCTTCAAACCATTTTGTAATCCTAATAAAGGTTTGAATTGCTTTAAACTTTATGAATATGTAGTATCTATTGTTAGTGAAGATCTCCGTTTCTCATTTCTTCTCTTGTATTTCTTGGTATTCCCCACTTCTTTTTATTGTATATTCTTTTTATTAGGGATTTTTTCCCTCCCCCACTTCCTTAATGTAATTGATGCTTATCTATGTGTATTGTTACAAAATAATTCTTTAATATCTGTAGCATCTGTACTGATGTCTCCTAATATTTCTTGATAGTGGAAATTTGTGTCCTCTTTTTTTCCTGCTTGGTCAGTTTGAATAGGGTTTCATCAGTATTACTGACTTTTACAAATAACCAGCTTATGGTATTAGTGGATATCTCTTTTTCATTTCATTGACTTAGGCTTTAACTTTAGTTCTCTTATACTATCACCACTCCCTCCTTCTTAGGCTGGTAACTGAGGTCATTGATTGAAACCTTTCTCCATATTTAATATGAATATTTTAATGTTGTTTAATGTTGTTCTCTACTGACTTAGCTAAATTCTTCAAATTTTAATGGGTTGCAGTTTTCCTTTCATTCAGTTCTGTGATTTTTAAGATTGTCCTTGTGATTTCCTTTTTCACCCATTGGTTCTTTAGAGGAGTCTGTATAATTTTCAGATATTTGGATATTTTAATATGTTTCTATTTTAGTTCTATTTGGGTCAAAGAATACATTTGTATATATGTTACACATTTCAAACTTGTTGAGATTGGTTTTATCACTAATAACATGATATGTCCTGGTCAGTGTTTTACATGCACTTAAGTGATATTTTGCTGTTGGTGAGGGAGTCTTCTGTAAATACAAAATGGGTCAGAATTGTTGATAATGTTATTCAGTGTCCTTATTTTCTGTCTACTTGGTCAATCACTCAGAGAAGAGTAGAAATTTCCAATTCAGTGATGGATTTGTCAGTAATTTTCTTACATTTTTATTAATTTTTGCTTCTTGTATTTTGATGTTCTTTTACTAGGTGAATATTCTTTTAGGATTGTTAGGTCTTTGAGATACATTTGTTATTATGTAATATCACTCTATCCTTAATATACCTTCTGCAGTTGACTTCAACAGTAATATAATCACTCCAATGTTCTTTTGATCAGTGTTTGCAAGAGTACATTTTTTATCCTTTTACTTTTCGTCTAACCTTTTTAATGTTTAAATGAAACATTCATAGGTAGCACATAGTTTGATATGCTTTTTTAAAAATCCAATTTGATAACCTGTGTTATATCAGTGTTTGTTTCTATACCTGTTACTGATATGGTTGCATTAAACTCTACCATCTTGCTTTTTTTTTTTTTGGTCTTATTTCTGCCTGCTCATTGTTCCCGTTTTACTCTTTTTCTACTGCTTTGTTTCTAGTTGGTACTTTTTATGTTTTACTCCACTATTGACATATTATTTATATCTTAATTTTTTTTGTTGTCATAGGGTTAATAAACATCTCAATCACACTGACCTTTAAATGATATTATACTGCTCTATGTGTAATGCAATATCCTTAAAGCCATTTACTCCCATTTTCATCATCTTGTTGTTACTGCAGTTATTGCTATGTATTTTATAAATGCTATAACCTACAAAACTGTGCTATAACCTACAAAACTTTGGTACTATTTTTGTTTTAGACAGTTTTTTTTTTGAGCTACTGAAAAAAATGCCATATGTTTATCCTCATCTTAACCATTTCCAAAGATCTTTATTTCTTTGCATCTAGTTTCTGTCTGGTATTATATTCCTTCACCTAAGCAACTTCTTTAAATATTTCTTGAAATACAGGTTGCCCTGTGATGAATTTTGAAATGTTTTTATGTTACTTTTACTTTTGAAAGATACATTAGCTAGATATGGAATTCTTAGTTGGGGGGGTGGTGTGTGTGTTGACCACTTTAAATATGTCACTGATTTGTCTTCTGCCTGTATAGTTTCTGATGAGAAATTTGCTGTGATTGCTTTCTGTGGTTCCTCTGTATATGTTAGTTTTCCCTCTTTTTTTTTAATAATTGTTTATTTTTACATCATTTTGTGCATTTTTCCATCTCAGTTGTAATCCCTGTGGGCTTCCCATCACCAAATCACAGTTTTTCTTCTATTTTTAAGGCTTTCTATTTACCTTTAATTTTGAGTGATGTGAATATGATATGTTCACAAGTTTTATTTATTTATGCATGCAAGAACTGGGGGTATAGGCCAGAGGTGCAGGGAGTTAGAGGAGTCACCAGAGTCAGATGGGGAGCAGAACAGGCAGATATATTGAGATACACTGCTGAGTGGAGCAGCAGGCAATACCGGAGAGATCTGCTATGCCTTGTGCGTCAGTTTCCCTAGCCTGGGAGGGAACTCACATTGCAGTGGTTGGTGATAGCTTGGTAGCTCTGAGACTTTAACCCCTGTATCACCAGGAAGGCCCATGTCTACAGGTGCTATTTATTTTGTTATTTTTTTCTGTTTGAAAAAATTATCTGATCTTGGATTTGTGGTTTGGTATTATTAACTAGTTTTGGAATATTCTTATTTATTATGTCTTCAAATACTACTTGTATCCCAATTCTCTCTTCTCCTTTTGGGATTCCAATGACTTCATTAAACTATTCGATATTGTTTCAATACCCTTGGATACTCTTTTTTTTAAAAAATATTTTATTTATTTATGCATATAAGAACTGTGGTGTAGGCCAGACGTGTGGAGGTTAAGAGGAGTCATCAGAGACAAAGTGGGGAGTAGGACAGGCAGATCTATTGAAATACACTTATGAGGGGAGCAGTGGGTGAGACAGGAAAGGTTTGCTGTACCATATGGGTCATCTCCCTGGCCAGGGATCAAACTCAAGTCATGGAGGCTGGCAATAGATTGATAGCACCGAGACTTAACCCCTGTGCCATCAGGGGAGCACTATTCTGTCCTTTCTTTAAATTTTTTCCTTCTACTTTCATGTTTCAGTTTGGGTTATGTCTTTTGACCTATCTTCAGATTTACTTACCGTTTCCTCAGCTCTTTGAGTCTACTAATGAGTCCGTGGCAGGTATATTTTAATTTTTTTTTCTTGTGCTTTTCTTTTTAAAAATTTATTTATAGGTACAAGAGCTGGAATATAGGCCAGAGGTGTGGGGAGTTGAGGGGGTTCACCATAGATAGAGTGGGGAGCAGAACAGGTGGGTTGACTAAAGTACACTGCTGAGGGGAGCAGCAGGTGAGACAGGAGAGGTCTGCTGTACCATGAGGGTCAGCTCCCTAGCTAGGGATTGAACTCTTGCTTCAGTGGCTGCTGATAGCTTCATAGTGCTGAGATGTAATCCCTTGCAACACTAGGGAGGCCCTTTTTTTATGCTTTTCTTACTTAACATTTTAAAAGATTTATTTTTTGATACAAGGACTGGGCTTCAGGTCCTCAGAGGTGTGGTGGGTGAGAGGGATGGGGAACAGAGACAGAGTAGGGGACAGAACAAGCAGATTGACTGACATACATTGCTGAGCGGAGCAGCGGGTGGATCAGGAGAGGTCTGCCATGCCATGTGGCCGGGAGTGGAACTCATACTGCAGTGACTGCAGAGAGTATATGGTGCTGCAATTTAACTCGTTGCACCACCAAGGAGGGTCTAACTTACTTAATATTTTCATTTGATATTTTTCTTGTAGTTTTTATCTTTTCTGAATTTTCCTATTAATTTTTTTTATCAAAGTCTTTCATATATGATCATAGTTGTTTTATATTCTGCCCGATAATTCTATGAAATGAGTGTTCTGTTGTCTCTTGATATTGGATTTTGTTACTTTTACTGTTCTGGGTGTCTTGTAATGTTTTATTGAAGGTGAGTGTTAGCAGCATGATCTTTTTCTGCTTCTGAAGAGACTAAGGGAATGCCCCATGTATTTAGGGATTACTAAACAATCATTCTAGGAATTCTCAGGTAGGTCTTATCTTTAATAACAATACCTCCTTTTTCCTCTATTCCAGTTCTGCCTTCATAGTTCTCTGCCTTTACCCCAAAACGCAGAAAATGAACAAATCCCAGGTGAGTTGTTTGTTTATTCCCAATTTTGCTTTCAGTGCATTTGAGGAAGTTTAAAAGCATCCAAAAAATAAAATAAAAAAGTACATATGAGTAAAATTCAAGGAAAACATAGTAAGAATAACTGATCAATACCCGCTACTGAGAAAGTAGACCAGGTTAATTAAGTGTCTTGTCTTGATTATGAGTATCCTTTCCTTGGTTCTGTCATGAATACATTTTATGGATCTAGATATAGATGGTATTTTGAATAGCATTCCCAGCAACAGCCCAAATTAAAAGGGTTATAAGTTTGTGCTCATTTCGTATAGCATTTTTCAGTGAAAGTGTAGGGTGTTATTATGTGTATTTTAATTTTCCAACCAGATTAGTATTATTGCAGTTTAATTCTTTCCTTGAATCCCTATAGTTGTCATTACTTTTGTTAGTAATTAACCATATTTTAGTTATACAGGTTTATAAAAACACAAATGTAGGCTATTATAAAATGGCTTATTGTGCTGTCCTGTTTATATGTGTTTTGTTTTTGATTAGTAGCATATTTTAGGAAGTTTTGGATTTACAGAAATTTAGTGGAAAGAGAATTCTCATATCTGTCACTCTCTCTACCTAGACACAGTTTCCCATAGTAACACTTTCTATTAATTTTGTGTACTTGCTACAATTGCTAGCTTTAAAGTCCATAGTTCGATTAGATTATACTCTTGGTGTTATACAGTCTATGGGTTTTGAAAGCTTTTAGATGATATATATTCACCGTTACAGGATACTTTACCTTAAAAATACCTGGTATTTGACCTATTAATCACATCCTCCCTCTTCTTAAGCCTCTGATAACCACTGGTCTTTTTACTATTTCAATAATTTTGTCATTTCCAGAATATTATATAAATGGAATCATGCAGTATGTAGTCATTTCAGATTGGCTTCTTTCACTTAGTGATATGCATTTAAGGCTCTTCCATATCTTTTCATGGGTTGGTAGCACATTTGTTTTTAGCGCTGAATAATAATGTGTTATCTGGATGTACTTATGGCTCTTTTATACATTCACCTGTTGTTTCTTACACATTCAACTTGGTTGTCTCCAAGTTTTGGTAGTTAGCACTAAAACAGCTATAAATATCTATGCAGGTTTGTGGTTCTTTTGCTGAATTTTAAGCAAGTCCTTATATATTTTGGATGCCATATTATTATCAGTTATGTATTGTGCAAAGATTTCCTTATTTATCAGTGGGGAAAGAAAGCTTTAATCCTGTGGTTTGTTTTTTCATTCTTTTGATTATGTGTGTCTTTATCACTTAATAATGTCATTTCTTTGAAATTTTTCCATATCACAGAGTAGTTCCTCATTTTTACCTGATTTTTAAAATTGTGTAATAAAACATCCAGAGGAGTATGCAAAGCATTATAATACTCTTTATGTTGCACCAAAGTGTCTTAAATGTGAATACATTACAGAATAACAAAATGAGCACCTATTTATGCATGACAGTATCTGTTCTTTATGATACATTTTCTGATTGAATTTTTTTAAAGATTTATTTATTTATGCACTGACAAACTGGGGTACAGGCCAGAGGTGCAGGGAGGTGAGAGAAACAGAGTGGGGAGCAGAACAGGCAGATGGACTGAAATACACTGCTGAGGGGAGCAGCAGGTGAGACAGGAGAGGTCTGCTGCCCCATGTGGGTCAGCTCCCTGGTCAGGGATCAAACTCGTGCTGCAGTGGCTGCAGATAGCTCCATAGTGTTGCTCTTTAACTTGTTGCACCACCACAGAGGCCCTGATTGAATCTTTTTAGTAGTACCCAATACCTAGACATTTTTTGAAATCATTTCTTTGCTTTTCTTAAAGATTTTACCAAGTACATGTCTGTCCTTAATGTAAAGTTCAATTTTGAAAATCTGTAATTGGAATTAATATTGCCTTGTTTGGCATAATCTTTTGCCTGGTGGAATTTTCTTTCTTTTAGACATGTGAGATCGAAAAATGGCTTTTATGCACCCATAATTTCTTTGTCCAGACTTGGTTTTTATCAATATTTTTTCAAGTTATCTCAGCCAGTATTATTTAAGGAGAGTGAAACCACTCATTCATTGCAGGTGGCAGTAGAAACTGACTTTGGGAAACTTCTTGGGAAGCAAGTACAAATCTCTCTGGAAATTTTTTCCAGTATTAGAGAAAAGTTCCTAGGAGAAGATAGACAGAATAGAGTCTCTGGATCATAATCTGACTTTAGCTTTTTGGAGAATTTACAAGAACTTTATTTGAAGAAATTATTGGCAAGGTCATAAAGAACATAGGAAGACACAGGGCTCAGGATAGTTGTGCCATCTGGTAGGGTCAGAGTGTGGATCGAGTATTGGAACTTTACCATGAACATAATTAGAGCAAGTGGGCTGCACTGTATTGTTGCTGCTTAGCTCACTGGTCTCTGCCAACTTTCAGGAATAGATGAGAGCAGAACATTTCTGTGAGTTGAGTTTTCTTATTTGATCCAAAACAGCCTGAAGCCTAGGGCAGAGATAGATGTTATCAGCACATACTCAAGACAAGATAGACAGCACAGGTAAGGATGTGGGCCAGCCTCCCCGTATTGTTGATCCTCACGATAGGAAGGGTGGTGGGTGGGAGTAGGCATCTTGCTGATGTCTGCTTTTGAGACACACAGTGCCAGTCTTTGCTGACTGGAAGTTGGTATCAATAGAGAATCACTGCCAGTCTTCTTCAAGCCTCTCCTGAAGATTTCTTTCCATTCTTGAGATGATTTTGTCTGTCTCTTGTCATGTGTTTGTTCTTTTGGATACTGTTGTTTTATTGGACTACATTTTTCAGTAGCTTCTTGAAAAAGGGTCTGTGAGATACATTTTTATAGATTTTATATTTCTGAAAATGTCTTCATTCTGTTAGTTTCTGTCTTCGTTCTGATTGTTAGTTTGAATGTGAATTTATTCCTTTAGTTCTGTCTAGTTTTGCTTAATGTAATTTGAAGCTGTGTTATTTTGTATATTTATTTATTTTTGAAGATTTAGTTATTTATGCATACAAAACTGGGGTACAGGCCAGAGGTGCAGGGGCAGTGAGAGGATTCACCAGAGACAGAGTGGGGAGCAGAACAGGCAGATAGACAAAGGACACTGCTGAGGGGAGCAGTGGGTGAGACAGGAGAGGTCTGCAGTGCTATGTGGATCACCTCCGGGGTGGGGATGGCACTGAAGAAGCTCCTGCCAGCTTCTCAGTGCTGCACTTTAGCCTATTGCACCACCAGAGAGGGCCACATTTGTTTATTTTTAAAGTTTTTTTTTTACTTATGCATGCAAGAGCTGGGGTGTAGGGCAGAGGTTCGGGTGGGGGTTTGGTGGTGAGGGAGTCACCAGAGACAGAGTGGGGAATAGAACAGGTAGATCAGTGAAATACATAGCTGAGGGGAGCTGTGGGCGAGATAGGAGAGGTCTGCTAAGAGGAGACTTAGTTCCCAGGGTAGGAATCGAACTCATGCTTCAGTGGTCGTGGCTAGCCTCATAGTGCTCAGACTTAACCCCTGTGCTAACAGGGAGGCCCTGTATGTACATTTATTGATTGCACGCACATTTGTGATTCCTCTATCCTTCCTAATAGATTTACCCTTAAATTACCTGGGACAAGTGGTCATCTCTGTTTGTACTCCTTGTCTGATACAAATATAGCCATGCCTTCTTTTTATGGTGTATCTTTTTACATTCTTTTTGTTTCAGCCTATATGTGTATGTATGTTTACATTGTATTTCCTCTAGGTGGCATATAATTGCATAATGGTTTTTATTCAGCCTGACATTTTCTGTATTTTAACTGATTTAGCATTTTATTTTTTATTTAACTTAGTTATAGACACAGTAGACTTGAAGCCTGTTGACTTGCTGCTTTTTAAAAAAATCTGTCCTATGTGTGTAGGGATTAGTTTATACAGTTGACAGATCACCTTGGATATTATATACCACCTTGATACATCCAAAAACTCTGTCTGTGTGTACAAGCACATGTGGGCATGCGCATTTGTGTGTGTGTGTGTGTGTGTGTGTGTGT